GGAGACTACACAGGTTGTGGTTACTTATTGATGTGCGACGTCGATACGGCCGTTTATTCACCAAAGCCTGGTTTCCCTACCACAGCTGAATTGAACGCCTTCAAAGAATGCAAAGAAATACCAACTCACGTCGTTATTGCTACGGCGACACAAATCGCTTCACGCACCCTTCGTCCAGGCGACAGGATTCTGATTATTGCTGGTGACTGCGTTGGATTATCGGGAGAAATTTGCACGATAACAGAAGACGAGGCAGAGGTGTACTTACCCGACCAAGATTTACTCTATTCATTGCCCTTACGAGACATCCAACGGAACTTCAAGTCAGGAGACAATGTGGAGGTTGTGGAAGGTATTCACAAAGGCCTAAAAGGTTTTGTCATGACATGCTGTGATCATGTTCTATCACTCTATGACCCGGATACCAGGATTGAGGTACACAACTCAACTCAGCTATTGATGTCGTTCTAACCTTTTAAATTCCTCCCTCAGGTCGAAGTCCTAAGCTGGCAGACAGAGTTTCAGCCTACACCACCAATGTTCGGCGTCCCATCTAATATTTCAAATATGGAACCAACAACGTCATGGGTTCAGGTTAACAGTGGGCTGAATAGAGAAAGCCTACGTTCCTTGGAGCTTATCAATATGAAATTTGATCCATACCGGAGCTACCAGGGTCGAGAGGTCATGGTCGTAAATGGAAACTTCAAAGGCTACTTGGGTCGCATAACGTCTACTTGCGCAGATGATAGTGTTATCGTTGAATTGAGCGCAACTATGCGAAAGGAGCGACTCAAATTGAGCGATCTCTCCTTGGCGTATGCACACTCTATCTTTCTCTTCCAACATATATTCAATTTTGAAATAGATTCGAGAACAGACCCCTACAACAAATCAAATCAGATGATGAGGACAACAAACAAAGCGTGAACAGAACGGTAGTAATATCAGCCATGGATGTGCCGAAGACGCCAATGCCAAATACAGAGGAAATACCCGCAAGCCCATCTTGGGATCCGTTGTCAGAAATGCCGAATACCAACGGTAAATATATTCTGCAATTCATCGATCAATAAATTTTTGAGTCCGATATAGACGCTGCTTGCTATTGGCTCGCCGATGATCGCTTCAAAGGATTGTGCATCTGTTTGAAAATTGCGGATATTGATGTGCCTACGGAGTATATGGCTTACAAGAACAAGAATTTGGAATTCTTGGAGTCTAAAGGCAACACAGCCGTGGTCAGTTTTTTACGAGAACGGCAACACATTCCAATGCAGTACCTGGCGCCCGTCGCTCCCGACACAAAACATGTGTTGGTAACGGCCATCAGAGGTGACCGTATGGGAAAGGTTTTCAGAGTTTTGACATATAGTGCACTCGAATGCAAACTGAGAGACATTAGCATACAACCCATCCGCAAGAAAGACGATTTGATGATAGAGACTCAAAATCTTGTTGTAGTTCATCCTGCAAAGAAGTAGACTTTGACTAATCTGTACATTTACGGATTATCATACATTGCATCGACCTCTAGTCAATCTCTTGTACTCTGTACGGACAGTGAACATTGTGACAGTCATCGCCTATGCCCCATCGCAGATGTGTTTCTGCGAAAACATCATATGAAAGGTGAGCCCTCCTTGACCATTCATACGTTCCAACTCCTTCCAAACCGTATGATAGATGCCATATCATGGGGCAGCCTCGGCCACATGGCCCGTTCCACAAACATGTCGACCAGTAGTATTCAATCGACCGACGTTCCAGTTGGTCGATGTCATATGTTGTAGGTGATCCTTGGCATGAGATTGATATTCCGTTGACGGTCATCCATGGGTAAAAACAATAGATTCGAAAAGGAGAAATTGCGTTCATTTGCGACGTCAAATTGGAGGACAACAATGTCAACAATGCAGATGAGCTTTGACTTTGGTGGATTTTGAGCTCCGTTCCCTAATCATGGGTAAATAACGTCGATATTGTGAAATGACTCGATACTTACATTGTGCATCCTGACCCACAGAATGCTTTTCGTCGAATCTTCTCTGTCTGGATTGACCTCTCCAGTCTCTCTGTCCACGAAACCATGACTGTCGCACCATGCAACCCACTCAGTCATTGTACCGGATGGTGTCATGATGTCGATATCTTCAGGGGGATAATCAATGAAAAAGCCAGGTTCTATGACGGCCAAAGCTACTGATCCCCCTATAAGCCCATGAACACTCTCCAATATCTCGAATAACGAATCCATGACTCCGTCGTCCATGAAAGCGTGGATTACGCTCCTGACACGAGTGCTAACGACAGAGCGACAGCTTTCCGCAAAAACAGAGTTTATGTGACTGAGCCGAACAAGTTTCGAAAGGGATGGTTCATCGCTAGTAGCCTGCTCGATGATACAAGAGACTATGTCTGCTGGCAACTGCTCGGGTATTGACATTGTAACCAAAGTAAGCAGAGATGGCACAGTTTGTTATTATTCTTTCCCTTTCCTCATGTGACAATATATATATCAGGACACGCCGGAATGTGAACCTACCTTCACACCATCATGTCCTCTGGTTTTTATGTGACCAGAAACAATGTGATAAAGAATCGCGCCGCCATAGTAAGCTTCAATCTGTCTATGTAGAAGTAAACTAAGCTTTGTGCAGTTCCACGCTCGCACGTACTGGGGATTGCTGTACGAAACAGACTTTAACACGCCACAATTGGTGCGCGTTCCCCTTTACCTAGGAAAAACGAGCGCCAAGAGCTTGGACGACTTGGACACGGACATCTGGATTCGCAGTGGTTCCTTCTTCACTCAATGCATCGACTTGGATGAAAATCGTTTACATGTAGGCCCCTCCAAGGGCGGTAGGCCATACCGTCTTCGTCCTCCTCTCACCATCTACTATTCCAAACGTGTAAGTAATTTTTTTTTGTCACTTTTTTGTACATCCCTGATCCAACCTCTTCTAGCCACCTCCGCCAACATATGCCAGGCACTTCAATAGGGCAATCAAACGCATTTCTGGTAATACAATCGACAAATGGCACGGTAACGTCTTGGTAGTATGTCACGGCAAACGAAGCGCCGTGGCAGGTGTTCAAATGAAGGATGTCTCTTACATCAACAAACGCATCGTTCGGTACGTATGCCGGTCCTTCATCTATGCATTAATAAATTTCTCAAGCAGGTTGATAACCGATGGTACGCTTTCTCAAATCCCGTAATAAGCACTACCCTCCCAGTTAGGAAAATCTAGTTACCGGATTGTTATATATACAAATTCACCTGTTCTCGAGCGCTAATCATGTCCAAGTGGATTGCCATTCGTATTGCGCGAAAACACAAGAACTTCTTGTCTCGAGATAGTCGTATGTTATGTTACTAGCTTGATTCAAGACCACTCATAACCGTAACCCTAGAAATTGTGTCAAATCATGTTGTATGCCTCCAAATCGCGACTTCTCTTTTTCCGCTTTACTTAACATGATAAAGATAACAGGTGTGGCGGCAAACCTGATTATGGGACTAACTATACATTCAAACGTCCAACAAACACCTCAAATCACTTTGGATAGTCATCTTCCAACGTGGAATGAATTGGATTAGGACTATTATGTATTCCACGTATGGCGTATTGTTCTACCCTTTTTCAATCTCCGACTGCGAAATAAATAGTGATTCTCAAGTTTCTGGCATCGCAGCTTCCCACCTAACACTTCGTTTCCTATCAAGAAATTATTGTAAGTACCGCCACGCATGACCTTTTTGTTTTCTTATTGAGAAGCCCACAGACAATGGCATTCAGTGGCCCTGCCGTACGCAACCGTTTAATCCATACAGCTCAATACTGCGCGAGTCCAAACTGGAATTCCAGAGTAGGATGGGCCAACTCAAAATCTGGTCAAATCTTGGTCGATGCCAAAAGTGGAGACGAAATGTTCTGCATCGTAGTGGGCACGGTCTCCGAAACACGATTCAAGATGGGGCCCGTTGGAAACTACAACCCCGAATTCAACAAGCTCAAGGATGCCAAATACACTTTCGGTTTGGACGAACCAACAAATCCTGATTTCAGACCCGACTGGGCCACCGCTGTCAAAGACTTAGAGAACGCTGAGAATCTCATACAAGGGACTAAAGATCATCGACACTTTATTGAGAAAATTGGCAATCTCAGGTCGCTGCGACTGAGCGCTCGTGTTCTCCAAGAAAAGGTATGGTTCAATTACAATTATCAACTCAATGATCTAACCGCAAATCACAGGATCCCGGAGTATCAGGTAAATGTGTTTGATATTATTGTCCCCGCCATTGACATTTTTCATAGATGAAATTAAACTATCACATTGGCCTGCGCCGCCAGAGTATCATGACGCTCTAGCCGACTTGGAAGACACGCACACTGTTGCGCCACTCATGGCTTACAACGAAAAAGAATCTCAAATTTTGCCTGAGGAATTGCCATCCGTTCTCAAAGGAACTCTTGTCGAAGTAACCTTCACCCTCCGCCATTATCGTATCAAGAATGCTACGCAAGACAGCGATACATACACTGGAACAATCGAACAGATCATCATCTTAGAACGCGCACCTCCCAAGAAGATCAGTCCTTACCGTAAAGGAAGTGGACCGATCCGCATCCGACCTTCAAATGTTCCCTCTCGGGAAGAACAAGCAGCTGCAGTTCGCGCGTTCTCGTGGTCAAGACCTACCATTCGCGATCCGCTTCCAGTCATGCAAACCGCTGGCTCCTCAGTCAATCTGACAGCAGACGATGCCTCCCAATCTTTTCATAACGTTCAGGGACCTGAACTCGAAGCTTCCAACATTCCGGTTGCGGTCGCAGACGGTCACATTCCATCTTCCGGTATTACCATTTCTCCAACTCCAGCCCTCGATCAAACGGCCCCACTTTCACCAACTACTTTCCCCACTGTGCCACCTTCAGCTGCAGTGGCCGCATCCTCGATGACGTCAAGTGCGCCCCCCCTTGAGAACCATGATACATCGTCACCGACCACCAACCCTATACCACCTTCAGGTACCTCAGAGACTCAGAACATACGGGCCCGCCAAACACTTATCATTCCTTCCTTAAAAGCTTTAGGGAAACGAAAAGCGGATGAAGCTATTGACGATGAAAGGCCAACCAAGAAATCCTCCAAATAAGGTATAACATCTTTAATCTTGTGATCTTGACGAATTGCATCTAACCATATCTCAGGAGAGACATCATATCCTTGAATTTTACACGGCGGTTTCCAAGATCATGATTGTTACATCTCCATTTCGTCAGCAACGGCTTTGGTTTATCCTTTTATGCATATCTCTCACCTCTTGACGAATTCTTAAACACCGCGATTATTCGTGCCTAAGGAAACTTAGGCCTTCCTCCATATGTATTATTTTTTTGCCATGCCTTCCACGTTTCCTTTTCAGTATGTCTCTATTGCTCTTCTGCACTTGCCTCGGATTTACGCATCGCATTCACGAGGTCATGCTCAATTCAATATGTGGCTAGTACCAGGAACTGCGTAATGGCGTGTATTGATATGACGTATGACATTTATTGTAATCTTTGTAACAACATAGTCTCAGTATATTTACCGTAACATAAAAGACAACTAAATTTTGAGCTCCAGTTTCTGATATCCGTGTTGAAAATTTTGGCATAACTACAAACGTACGCTTTCCAGCAATTAATCATATTCAAAGCTAACTGTTTAATAGAATGAGTAGTTCTCTTTCATGCAATAATTCGTCGGATCGCCAAGTATTTCAAGTGCTCTACTGGTAAAACCTAACTCACCTTTGATCAAGGTTGCGCTAGGCATTTCAAAACCCAGCTTGTACACACAACGCCGGTTTCTTGCTTACGGCAAACAGTTGTTCGTCACTGAATACGATCCTATTTCCAACACCTATCAAACTCCTACTTTTGAATACCAACTTCGAGCTACAACTCACCTGCATGTAGTGCGATGGTTCTGATGCGCTGGGATAAAGTAATTTAGCCAATCTGTCGACTTGTATAAAATAACCACGGATCCTTTAAGCCACGTACATCTTCCAAAAAAAAAACATTTCTCTGCCCCGCTGTACCTCTCACCCTTGAGCAGCAGTACCCTACAGAATATGTAGATTTCCGCCTTGATCTAAACATCGTCGCACTCCATACTCGTAACGCCGAAAAAAGGTTAGTATTGACCATTACCTTACATGCAACACATTGAACTGGCCTTCTTGTTCACGTTTTTAGGGTTCTGCACCTGTTATCATGCGTATCTGTGAACCCAAGACAAATGCTACTTATCTTTGTGTCTGACAAAATCATCGTACATGGAGCCAAATCAGAAGACGATTCACGCTTTGCATCCCTTAAATATGTGAGTGCTAAGGCTTGGTCTGGACGGACGAAAATTTCTCCAAGTTCAACCTACAGAACATCATCCGTAATTGACATCAAGTTACCCAATCGCCTGGATAGCTTGACTCATAGTCACGGACAGTTCAGCTGTTATAAACTCTCTCGCATTATATAAACTCTCTCGCACTCTATAAACTCATCGTTCACCACAACGCCCCAAAATGAGGACAAAACTGTTTTTGAGGAACAACGTATTGACCAAATCTCCTCGTCGCAACGATGAAATCGAACACGTCCTACGCAACATCGGTAAAGTCAAGAAGGAGGTCGATGATGTTTTCAGCGACCATGAATGGGCCATTGTAATCTAGTGAGTTCATAGCCGTCGTTTCGGAATCCATACTTATCACCTTTTAGCAATGGACTTCATAATTCGAGGAACGTTGGTCGCCACTCGACAGTTTTCGCCTTTGTGCAAGGCGGCCAATACCTTTTTTTGCAATGCTGGGCCGTGCACATCTTCGAAAATGGACGCACTGATTATTTCTTCGACCCGAGCCGCGAACTCCTACGTCAACAGATGACGCCCGTTAGCAGTAAGTTCTTCATTTGAATCCCTTACTGAGATTGGACTCGATATCACCATAGTAATCTTCGCCAACGGTTTCGTCGCGCACACGGTGACCTTCAAAAGGGATGGGAGGATTACGGTGGAGTAAAAGATCGCTAAATAGTATAGACGTGAAAACTTGCAGATATACCCCTAGACACAGAGCAAATGAAATGCGTAATTCATCTATATCTATGTGCAGGTTACAAGGCATAACCTAGCCCACTTAAAATTAGCTACGCTCAGTTGATCTCGATCCGCATTTAGCACCCGATCTTTTTCAGTCACCATCGTTCTCCGTCCAAGCCTTTAATATTGAGTCGCTGTCGTCTTGAGCCTCGGCCACAGTTGGAGGCAGTGGTATAAGTACATCATATCCCATGAAGCTCTGCACGTCCTCACCCGACGAAATGTTAGCTTAGTAAGAAGAAATCTGATCCTGGACTTGATGGCTGTGTGGATTCCCCTAGAGCAACACAGAGCGATGCTGATCATCCGCACTCATTTTTTTTGTGCCTAAATTCAGAATTTTAATGCGATTTAACTACAAAATAAATCCAACCCATAAAATCCAAGCAAGGGTTTTGTTGACATTGGAACAATGTCAAACTCTAGTATGTAATATGCAATTGAAATGTTGGAATCTTGATCGATGATCGATTCGGTTCATGTTCCACACTCATATTATTGAAATCACAGTCTGTTTCACAGACGAAAATCGTCCATCCTACGTTGATGTCTATAACGTTTCGGCTCACGTCTGATAGATAGCCTAAGATAGGTTGATAGCGCTGATCCTACTACCATCCGAGTCTTGCTACCATCGCGAATTGGTACCGATACAGCAGAACCAATTATCGTTGGCCAGAACATCTACTAATCGTAGATTGGTTGTGCATAATGTCAAAATGACACATAAATGCACGAAGCGCGGATTATCTCTTATTCGGTAATGTATGTGGGTTCATAAGAAAGACTGTAGACTCATTTTTTACTATGCCTAACGTGCGGATCGGGAAACCTAGTACTATTCCTCTGCCATTCACCCATTGGAAACCAGTTGTAAGAACACTGCCCACTAGTCAGAAGATTACATTTCCCATCGAGAATCCATTGCCCTGCCAGAGTGGTCTGGAAAGTTGATGTAAGCCAAACTTGGGCATTCCTCTGACCAGACCTTGCAAAGCTTCAACTTTTGATCTCGGAAGAAGTAGGCCACTGGTCGGTTGTCATTCGATGGCTCTTCCCAAAATACAATTGCAAGTTCTTGAAGTTTTCTTGTAAAATTCGAGAGTACTGAAGCAAGAGCTTCGGGATTCTTTTGCGCAAGGTCATCAATTGACGCTGCCAGCAGGCAGAGTGACAAAATACTGGGTGAGCTCACCAGGTGAATCATACAGTCTCCCACATATACGTCCAAATGAAATATGTTGACGAAGTGATCTGAGATTGATCTAACGGCCGACAGGACATTCTTGTCATCAAATTCGTCCATAGTTTGCACATACAGGGCAATCATAGTGACATCTTTCTGTGGGATTGCGTAAAAGTGTTTCAAGGAATCATCAATCAGCTTTGCACTCCATCCAGGGGAGAATGCGGGGAAAGCGGAGATTCCATCCTCTGTTACTCCAGAGAGAATGAAAAGGGTTGGAGGAATTCGGAAGCAGGGCGAACTTGAGAGCCATCGTTGATCACTCAAATGCTTGTCTTTATTGAATCCCCAGAACCAACTCGGGGTATACACCGCCATTATTTCGAGCTCGGTTTGCTTCAGGATCCAAGGAAACAGTTCGAAATCTTCGGATAGGTAAAGTGTCTTCAAGGAGAACGTGCAACGTCTGATAAAAGTTAAATAGTGTAATAAAAGAATAAGTAACCAAGCAAACGTACGTGAAAGTAGAATTTATGGTTTCAAGGACATCAAATTCTGGATTGGCCGGAAGACGTATTGTTAAGTGCTTCAGGGATGTCATCAGCAATAAGCCCTCCTGCAGCTGATCAGTGACGAGCGTGTCCCAAGTGTCCAAAGTGTCTTTGGGGGGATACCAGAAGATGAGTTCTTGTAGACGCCCCTGGACAGGTTCCGCAGTTGTAAAATCCCGATCAATTATGAGCTCGTACATGTCAGGCTTCCACAGCGATTTCTCCCAATTGGCCCTCCTTCGGGAAAGAAGGCGCCCAGCCTCCGCTTGGAAAGTATTGCCGACGCGCGCCACTCTCGCCACATCGTCACTGTCAAGGTAGGTAAGCACGTTGTGCGTCAATTCTGGAGGCCACTGAGTAAAAAGAATGAGATCAGGAGTATCAATAGCGCGTCGAAGCTGTACACCAACTGTGTTTTGGGTGTGGTCGGGCATTCGAAAGTGTTTGGGTGTGGAGGTGGCTGAATGTTGAAATTGATCGGTTGATGATCCAAAAATTCTCACAGGTCGCATTCACACTCTCCTAGCAGGAAAATTGATATATTTTACACAGATTTCTATTAGGTATACATCCAAGTATACTTACATGCTTCGACTTCTTCAAAAACGCTGACCCGCATACCTGCCTCGTTTTCCACCAACAAACCGACTTTCCTTCTGACTACGACGTTCATAACCTCTCCCCATAGACCGGTTATGCCTATCATGAAAATGACCTTGGGGATGAGCTTGAGGTGACCCATACGCGGGATAAACCTGAGAATGGGGGCCAAGAGAATAAGGGTCAGCTAGACCCGCAGCGCTGGATGGAGATGGCATGGGCCCAACCGAAGGAGCGTACCCAGGAGCATAGCCCGCTGGGGGAGCGGGGTGCATCGGGTAGCTCCCCGGCGGTGCGCCTAGCGGCTGCGGGTAGTATCCGTAGGGAGGGTGGGTATAAGGGGTAGGCAGTGTTAGTGCTGCGTAGTAAGGGGGAGGAGCTATATACGGATGACCGTGCACAGGAGGCGGAGAGGAGTAAGGTACCTGATGTCCACCATACGGACCTGCTGCATATAGGGCTGCAGGTGGGTGACGGGCGGGGGGAGGTGGAGTCCGATCATGCATTTTCTCAGGCCCAGCGTAGGGACCATCGTAAGGAAGAGGCTCGGGACGAGGGGGTAGCTGCTGCTGCTGTTGTTTGGGATGACGCCGCGATGTGCCAGGATGGGAAGGGTGTCCGTCCGGTTTTCCAGAAGTACCTCCTACGTTTCTGTTGTCAGACCGACCTTGACTCGTCGAACCTGTTGGCGTAGAGCCACGAGCTGAAGTGGGAACGGTGGTCACCGATCCACGAGGAACTTTCCAAGGATCCTTGGCAACAGAACCCTCCAATTTAATGCTGTTGCTGCTCGTGGCAGGTGTCCGCGACGAGGGCTCGAGCTCAGAGGCTTTGGCAGGAGCCATCTCCACCTCCGCATCCACAACTTCACCTTGCTCCATACTTCCGCGATTGTTTCTTCTACGTTTCTTCCTTTCATGATCCTCCGTGTCCGCATCACCGTCAGGACCCTTGCGTTTACCAGATTTATTAATGACAGCTTCCCAAAACGTTCGGTATCCAGGAGGCGGCTGCGCTCCTCCTCTGAACTTAAGAAGCTCATAGACACCCTGCTCCGCGGCAACGCAGACCGCCGCTAGTTTCGAATCGACCTTGTTTCTATACATTGATTCCACGGAATATTCTCGCACATCAGGCTGGTCTGCGTAAGGTGATATGTCGATCTTGACAGTACAACCAAAAGCTACATTAAAGAGAAGTCAATAGTGATAGGATTTCGAGCTTGAAGCCCACCATCTCTTTCTTGCACGAAATCAAAGACCATCCGATTGCCACACCGGACTTTGTTGCACTCGGCTGTTAGGCTAGGAATGACCTTATCATGAGCGAGTTTCCTCCTCTCCGGAGACAACCTCTGTTCCGTTTCTTGCTTCACAGATCGTATGTAGTCTCCGAGGCCTTGAGACATAGCCAAAAGGCACACAGCCGACTTGGCATCCGCGCGTTTGACGAATCGAGGATCAACGATGTACGTCTTTGATTCCCCAGGTCGATCAACTCGGAGCAAACAGCCATTAACTGATGGTACAAAATGAGCGTTCGATCAGGGAAAGGCAAAAAGGTTACTCACCTCCCTGTGAGCTATTCGTTATCCAAGTAAAGGTGGTCATCAGCCGAGCTCCGCGCGTGGTTTGAAGGGCCGTATTGAGCCATGCCGGACCATTGATTTCATAGGCAGTTTTGTCACCAACAGGTTCAGGGAACGGCTGCGGGAGTGATGCGTAGAACTCCTGAAGCGACAACGCCCCCGCTTCTGGTTCTGGAGTAACGTTTTCCTCCTTCACAGAGTCGGACCCGTTATCCGTTTTGGGTCTCTCAGTTTGTCCATTCCCATGTTTGATATACTCTAGCACGCCTTCTTCCAGAGCGATCTTAGCGCAGACAGCTTTCGCTTCTTGTCTGCTAGCGTAAAGAGAACCAGTCGAATATGCCCGAAACGCATGTGGAGTCAAGGAAATTCGAAGGGCAGCACCGTAGCCTGAGCCGAACCATCAGTAGCGAATAGAAAAGGGATTGAAATGATTAGACCTACGATTCCGCACTCCATGCCCTACTTTCGATTCACCAAGCGACACCCAATGCGGTTTAACCTTGCCCGCCCGCCATTCCGCACAACAATCCTCAATGATCTTCACAGGCTCGCTTTCTTTTGGTGTGGGCAGGGTTTGCAGCACAGGCACAAAACCACCCGATAAAGAATCCCCATCCACATCGCCCTTCTTCGCCTTCAACACTTCCGACTCCCCAGTCAAGATAAAATCCAAAGCACCCCTGTCAATAGCCATCCCGCAAACTTCAGATTTCGCGTCTGCCCGTTTCTTGAAAACGGCCTCGGTCTTGTATGATCGTGAAGCGCCATTGGGGCGTTTGATAGTGAGTATGCACTGTTTGCCTAGGGTAACAAAAAATCAGCAATCAAAGCACAATGTAAAACGCGAATCTGAGGGAAAGTGCGTACATTGCGGATTGTCTTCTAAAAATTCAAAGGTAAGAAAGTTGACGGAAGTCCCAAACGCCCGCTGGCACGTTTGGTGTAACACGGTTATGGGAGAATAGTCTCTCTTGGACGGTACACCACGCACGGTACTCAACTGCGCGACAGGCGCCGAATCACTAGCGTCTTTCAGAACCGGTGGAGATTGGCTTGATGAGCGTTTTATTGTCTGTTGGGGCTGGGAAACACGCGGCGGAGATGCTACTCTTTCCTGTGGCACTTGCAGGTGGAAGCCGACGTCAAGGTCTTCCAACCCACTGGATTTCGAGAGGTAGCTTTCAATGGATAATACACCGATGTCTGTGAGGGCCTGAGAGACGCGGTTGAATGGGTTCAAGGTACTGTTGAGACGCTGATACACTGCTTGGAGTTGGGCGTCTGTCATGTCTGCTGTCGAGCGTTTGGGAGCTGCAATGGTGCGTGGCATCGTCGAGCGCGGGTGAACGCCCCTTCGCCACAAGGGAGGCTACGAGAGCAAAGGATTTCAGCGAGTCGAGAGCAGTGTAAGTCGAAGTTGAGGATGACGCATGTCCCAACCTCATATTCCCACAATTTTCATTACATGGCAAAAAGCACTCATGTACCAATATTTTCCAAATTACATCTGATTCGCAAAAAAGCGGTTAGTAGGTAGCGTAGTACACAAAAAAAAGGAGGGTGAGCCATGTCCAGATGAAAGTAATCCTAAATAGCTAAATCGGGGGGTATCGCTAATGGAATCGGGGTGGGGGGTATAAGTATTCCTGATAATTGTACAACTGCGCCTGCGTCAAAGCCAGGAGCGTAGAATACCCTTATCGAAGACCTGTGCTACCGCTGGAATTCGGTAGACGTCCCTCGTCTGGAGGCGGAGAACGCAGGGGTTGAGGGTGCCGACGATGGGGACCTTCATCTTCAATGGGTGATTCGCTCAACGCGCTTTGATAGGTCGCGTCCGTTGGTTCCAGACCATGTCCGTAAGACCTCGGTGAAGTATTGATGAAGGTTGACGACGAATGGGGGTATGTAGGCTCTCGCCTCAGGTTATGCATGGCCTGTGTCGAGGTCTCCAAGAACCCCTGCGAGGAGTGTGGATGTTGCTGTGTGGGGGTCTGCAAGTTGTCCAAAGAATCCTCACGCACATATCCTCCATAAGGATCTTCGTGCAAATCCCTCATATCCCACCCGGCAACATCGGTGCTCTCCTCCCTCAGATGTGAAGGCTTGGACTCTTGTACATCTTTCTCCAGCTGCGTTACCAAATTTATTTTCTGGGGCTTGGGGGTGACGATAAGACTGGGATCCCCAGCGTATCCCACAGCTTTCCCATGCTTATCCCACTGTTGGTATCGCATCTCAGTTCGGTCGGTCAGCGTCAGAGGGATCTGTGAGTCCGAATCTCTAGGATTGAAGGCGAGGGTGCTCTCCGAAGGGTTTCCGGAATACGGAGAGAAACCTTGAGCTAGCTTTCCTTGGCTGAAGAAAGCGGTTGAGAAAACCTGTAAAAAAGATCTGGAAGAAGGCTTACCGTGCTTTCCGTCTGGCATAGATGACCTCTGGCTTGACCAGGTTCATCTGGTGGAGGATGTACCACATGGCCACGATGGTAATCAGTATCGTGATGGTTAGAACAACGTCGCTGATGATTCTGCTTTTAGTATCCTGCTGACCTGTCCAGGAGTCAGTGACTGCGTTCAAAAGATGGGGAATAACAGACCGGTACTTGATTGCTCCAAGATGACGCCCAAGTAAACAGTAATGAACTGCTTAGGCATGGAAAGCAGAGCTGCTATGGAGAATACGATAATCCCCATGCCACACGTCGAAAAAACGGCCGTCGTGACTAGGACAACCATAAGTTGTTTTTCTAGAAGAGTTGTTCCATCAAAACGCACAATGACCGGGAATAGCGCTCAATCTCGCAATAAGAGCGATCTTGAACCCTCCATCCCGCACGACCTTGGCCAAGCAGGCGTAGGAGATCTTGGTTCTTTCCATCTTCTCTCCTCTGGCGCTACAGCAGTACTTGAACGCACTGTGGGGGGTATCAATAAGATTGTAATAAGACGAAACGGTAACATACTAGAAGTTTCCCACTTCTCCTAAGAATGTTCCAGCAGCGACGATAGCAAAACCAACCCACAAGCCCCACACAAGACCACACAGAATGGCAACAATTTCGTGACCGAATAGCTACAGGGCGTCGTTAGTGAGGGAAGCGCCAAGGTAGGGGATGTGTCGTACAGGTGGGAAAGATATCACGAACAGTACCCCAATTGGTACCAGCCAACCAAACCGAAGGCTTCCATGACTGTTAGCAACGAACGTAGTAGGTAGCATGGGAGACTTACTGAAAGAGCCATTGCGTTACGGGCGTCAGCCACTTCACAATCTGCGTATGATAAATCGTAACCAACGCAGTGATCACCACAAGGATGAACCCAATAACATAATACCCTGTGTCTCCCTCAGCATCCAACATAGGAGAAATCAAAGCAGTCAACGCACATAGCCACGCCCTCCGAAACCAAAATCTCCAGCTCATCATGGCCTTCCAGTTAATAGCCCCACTCTGAAGCTCTTTTTCTTCACTCGGTGTCGGACTTGGTGTCCGTCCCGTCCCTCGACCTTCCTCCAGCGTCTTCCCGACGAACGTCGACATCGAGCTTGCATAATCATTGTTGTACGGTCCAGCGTGTGGTGGGTAGGGGTAACCGTCCTGACCCGAGGAGGGTTGCCTCATTGGCGGGGTAGCCATCAAGGAAGATAGTGAGAGTTCTTTAGAGGTGATCGAAGTATAATTCAAGAATCTGGGTTCGTAGAGTTATACTAGTCGCTTATTCAGAACAATAGACTCGACGCCTGCAATTGGTTGAACATACCCTTCTCATGAACAGGATTCCAAAGCAGGTATTTGGGCTTTCAAATCGTGGAACAGAATCACCGAATATCGAGAAGTTACTAAGGGGACCGCGGCGGAGAGGGAGGAGGAGAAGTGATGGTTGAGAATAAAGAAGTTTATGGTCGTCAATATGGTCAGCGCCCGCCTTTCCCACAAGGCGATACACATGTTTACAAACCCCGACTTCCACAATCAAGGTTGTTCCTGCCCTCAGGACTCACCGCCCCCTTGTAGGCTATTTTCTCCTATTGCAATTTGCAGAGCGCTCAAACGGTATGCAAGGTATTCTTTGCCGGACGTGTTTATGTAAACGCCAAAATGGCTCTACTAGTACTATTATTCGCAGTACAACCCAATTCCCCAAAATTTCGCTTCAAATTTCTAAATCACTGACATTCATCGTAGACTCGGATAAAAATTTATACCCGGTTGTCGCTGCGGATTAGGAGGCTGAGCAGTAAGTAGGGCACTGTGCACCCTACGACGGATTATAATCACCAGGCGCCTAACTCCAAGGTAAAGGTGTTTAAACGAACCAATTACCAGGGACTAATGAGGCTGCCATGTCGACAAAACACAGTGAGAACCTACTCCTTATGTAAAGCTCCCTGGAGCTACGGTTCGGAAGGACAAGGCTTTTCCGTGACTCTCTTGTGGAGCTGCACTGCTTCCTGTGCGCCGCACCCTGCCCTAGTACGCATGCGTTCCCCTCGGAAGATCTTCAGCTGCAGGATGCAGATCCAGCCGTCAAACAACCTGTCATGCGGAAACAACTCCTGCCTTGCCCTTTGCCAGAGTCCTCTACCGTTGGCGGCTGGGCTCAGGTCTAAAATCTTTTCGGAAGGAAGGATTTCAAGATGCTTCTTGACGTGATGGGGTCCTCGCTACATTGCGACCATGACATTGGTCGACAATTCGGTGTGACCTCGTAATTAATCAAGTGTGACCTCTACCATTATACACGCCAAGATAGTATGTTTCGTCTTTTTGCTGCTTGTGCGGAGACTTGCATGCAAAAACTAGTTAGTCCAATGATATGTCTATAGAAAAGAAAGATGTCTACCGTTGGCCTAAAAAATAGGCAGATGTTTAATAGCAGGTTGCCAGTAGTTGCACTGGGCTTGAATCGAAACCCCAGCCTTTGCATGATAGATGTGGTTGGTTATACAGCCCGATCAAACCACTTCACCATAGCTCAACTTATAGCATGTAAATAGAAAGAAGTATTATGGGTCTAAGCCTGCTTGATATCAGCGGCCTCGCGCGGCATAACGAAGTTGATGTGTCATCATGTTTCTGTAACACTTCCTTCTTAACCGACCATGGCCCGCTCGTTACTGGCTGGCATTTAAGTGGATGGTATGCCGTGTGCCGCCTGCGTTACTCTGGTTTTACCGTGTGACCTCGAGGGTGCGGTTCCCCCCACAAGGTTTTCTCTTCGCTTGGATTTGAGTAAGCTTGTCGATAACATGGGTATGCGGGTTGATGTCAATTCTCTATGTGCATGTATTGACTGCCCTCCAGTTCCTCACTCCCTCATGACTGGCTTTGCCCCCTGACAGCTCATGGCAGCCAATAGTATGGCACCATGGCAGTGCCCGAGCTCACACAACAAATGTTCGACGCCGACAACGTGCGACAATCTCAAAGCCAGGATAAGACGATGAAGGAGGGTACGTACCATCTGGTGTTTCACAGGGGTTATTCGTTTATTGTCATCCAGAATCCTCAGTCCCCTAATCAACAGCGTTATAGACCAAGAGATTCGAAGAATTCTCTTCGCTACAAGCAGCTCAAGGATGGCCGCATCCTTTTGGGTTACAATGTCCACAAGATGTCTACTCTCCTAGCCAGCACTAGAAGCCCTTAGGGGTCTGATGCAATCAAATAGTGCACGGAGCACTGCTGCAGGTCGGGTAGGCACGTTTCACTGTAAACAAAATGGTAAGTACTCCCTGTCGCATGGAGTCTTGAATAACTAAACAAACCTTTGTATTGGCAGTTCTTGAACACCCCCAATGCCATTCAACATACTACACGGCCCGCAATCCCTCAGGCTTCGACACGGTGTATCGCCGTCTCTACGCGCGGGTCGCTTGCGGACATTGGATGGTGTTTTCGCAAAGGTATGACCTTGTGCATCCCAACCATCTCAACCTTCGTAAACTTCCTCATTCGTACAAGAGTAATCCGCACAGGCATCCTTTCGGAACCATAAGTGAGATTTCAAAAGAAAGATAGGAAAACATACGGCTGAGCGCTCTGCAGAAAACGTATTGATAGAAAACACACACTGCAGCTTGCTAGAATAGGTCACTTTACATGGAAAGGACTTCTTCAAATCGAGGGTGTTGAGAGAGCCATAAGGGAACATCTCGAGTATACGTGTGAGCGCTACGCAGAAAACGTATTGATAGAAAACACACTGCAGCTCGCTAAAATGGGTCACTTTACATGGAAAGGACGTCAATTGGCTGGGATCATACAGCAAAGCTTTTATTCAATTCACGGTTAATCCATGCGTGCACGTTGGAGTCGCCGCAGCTTCTGAATATCAAAGAAAGTAGTACCTAGAAATTTATGTGTGAGATTAGTGAAAAGAACGGTGGAAACAACACACTCTAACTGAAATCAGGCCATGCTTGGTGCGAGGGCTTTTGCTCATTCAAATCGAGGGTGTTGAGAGAGACATAAGAAAATACAATCGACGATGGACGTGGCCAAAAACAGGGTGGTAACATCACATGACCACACCATGAGTTATGACTTCAAGTTCCAAAGATATCGTTCAATATACTTCGTATAATGGAAATAAAGTGTTTTCCAAGTGTTTTCTTTCGCAGAAAACATATGAAAGTCCAATCTATGGCTACAGACTTTCCAAACAATCAATATGAATACTTATGTGGATATGCAAAGAGGTTTTCGTTAAGTTTTCGTATGACTTTCAAGAAGAAATACTGAAACAGTACTGAAACCAGCTGTTTATTCACGGAAAACATACGCGTTGTCACCCATGCCTACAGGCAGCTATTAGTTTTCATTTCATATTGTCACGCACTCAGAATTCGTGAAGAAGCGGTGCCAGTTCCCCCAAACACCCCTCGGAAATCAACTTCTCTTACCAAATACAGACCTGAGCCCAGCCGCCAACGGTAGTCCTCGTTGTATCAAAGCCTCGTGTTCAAAACAAAACCGGACAGCAATTGTGAAGCTGTGGGAATTCTGCATTGTTTTTTCTATTGTGGAGTGTTGAGTTACTGAGTATTCAGATTCCAACTGGTCATCGTCATCTTCCGCTCAACTCGTTTGTAATTAACGTCCACTCCCAACGGAACAAAAAATGCTTTGGAGGGTTCAACCCGTTCACGAACAAATTTGACAACAAAGAATTTCGAAGCGATCATTGTCACGGTCCCGCGTTTCTTCTGACGACGAGCGAAGGTGGAAATCATAAGCTCAAATGGGACCTACTATTAGACCTCTATCAGATGAGCAGGACTCGGAGAGGAATATCTGCAGGCTGCCACCGCTATATTCGCTGTTGAAGTTGACTCTTGAGACATTGGAGCATATGGGAATGATCAACGCATACCGTCTGTGCCACTGTTGGAATGAGTCCTAATTTATCGATTCATGGTGGAAAATCGCTTCAGGTTGCGATGATAAGGCATCATAAATTAGAAAAAACCTCATGCCATAGCCGCGCGCGCATCCATCTTGATGCCTCGAAGGTCGAGCCAATCTCTGTCAGGTCCTGGGATAGTTTGCTGAAGTATTTGGGTCTTGCTAGTAACTTACCGACCTCCTTCCTAGTGGATTTGCTGCTGAACATTGATCGCAGCGAGGGTTTGGTCGATTCGTAAGAACTAATCGACATGTGATCGGAGTACGACCTATACATCCTCGTAAGGGCATTGATTTGTTGCAACAGATGTTTCAATGCCACAGTGGTCAAGGGGGTGGCGGAACGTGGGATTTAGATATACAGTTGCAAGGAGAATTAGGGCACCCTCAGCCTACCCCCCCCCATACCCCCCCAAAAAAGGAAATTTTCCAACTTCCTATGTCAAAAACATACTCAATCAATTGATTCATGTATTATGTTACATTTTTTGAGTTTTTACGTGTGACGACGCTTCACCCCCATATCCGTACAAGTGGGACACATCCAAGACTTCAATGCACGGCTAACCTTCACGCATTTTATGTGAAACTAAAGTGAACGGCTTGATCAGGAAACAATTTGATAATCTCCAAAAGATTTACGCACCCATAGAGTCTCGCAACCCTCTCCTTTGCATTCAATAGCATCTCCTCCCTCTCTCTCAATGAAACTGACCTCCTCCCCACAACCGTGACATCCTCGGTCCAATCGCGGTCATTTTTGACCGCGTGTACGTGTGCGCCGGCTGCCGTTATCGTTGCCTTCTGGAAGAATGGCCTGGGGAACAGGCGCAGGGTCAAGATTACAGCTGACGTCGATCCCCTGGGGGTTTATGTGGATTTCTGGTGAGGATCGATCTATAGGTTCTGTGTCCAGAATTGAACAAGCTGTCGGTGTAGGGAATGGGGGAGATCCTAGGTCACAATCGTCCGTGGTCTCAAGAGCGGATTCAGCGGAATGGGCAACAGGTAAAGGGTCATAATCGTTGCCATCAGAATCGGAATCATGAATGATGGGCCTGATTTGTTTTCTGACTGCCTTGTCAGTCGGGCACTCAACATCTTCACCCATTCCAGATTTCTCAACGGCATCGTCGTCGCCACTCTCTTCACCTTTGCAGACTATTCATCGCACTCTCGTCTTCTGATCCCGACAGGAGCGGGGGCGCGCTTGTCGTTGGTGGGTTTTGTGGGATTTTTGGTCCAAAAAAGGAGCGAATAGATGGTATGTTTTGCTGCCGTCTTGACGAGATGGCGGCTGCGCATGCTCTCGATCCGATATGCTGCTGCAGATTTGCGTTGCCGCCTGTTCCAACAGGAACATCTTGCTCACATTCTGGGCAACGAAGCTTGCTGTCGCTCGTAAACCCTGACGCTCTTCTGTACAGTCGTGGACAAGCAAAGCCCACTAATAAAAATGGAAATGTATTGATGGCTACCAAAGTGCCCGGAAAACGTGCAGATACGTTGAGGGAAGCTTCTGGCCAAATTTCAGCCAAGTCTCACGAGCCGTTTTGGAGAAAATGGCCATATACAGAAATAGACCCTAAAATTTTGGCCGGACACCAAAAAGTGCCAAGAAAAATATGAAAAATAGTGGAATCGCTTCCTTTCACGGAGAACAATCTGCCCATCAAGTTTCGAAACAATTTATGGAGCGGTTCTTCTGGAAAAAATTGCCAAACATTGACCCAAATTGGGCACTTAGTCACTTTTGATGTGACATCTATCACAGGACTAAGAAATTCCATCACACTAGGCTCTACTAGGCTTTCTCAATGCAGGGAAACAACAGGGAAATCCCTTTCTGATAGAATCTTTGCCCTTTCTGAGTAGCTTCCAGCCGAAGCCCAGCACAGGTACCAACTTTCGATAATTTCTGGCTGGTTTCGACCTGTTTTTCTCCTTAAATATTGCAGTTTTTTAGTCGAAAATTTTGGCCATGCCAATTCCTTGTGGGAAAAACTTCGGAGGTGCGTTTTTCGACGCATTTCGCAAATCCGAGCCAGAATCTGGAAAAATCTCAGCTCTAGATACATTATTTACCAAGATACCGAATTAGTGGGCTTTGCTTGTCCACTACTGTAATACAGTATTGAGTTAGAATATATATATAAAATAGGGACCCACTTCTTCTTAGCCATACTTTTTGCGAACCTGAGCGGCATTAGAAAAAAGTTCGTTGACTTTTTTTTTGGCTCAGTCACAATTTTGGACAGTAAATACGTAAATTAGGTGTTTGCCGTGCATCTGAACTTCCCAACTTCTTTTGGGAGTGCTATTTGGCTTATTGGCAGGACTTTTCTAAAGTAGGTCACGAAAAATATTTCGACCCCTTAGCGGACCCCCCCCCCCCCAACCCTATATCCGGGATCCACGTTCCGCCACCCCCTTGACAGTGGTTCGGTATTGCAGAACCCGATACATAGTTAATACTTCAGTCCTGCTTGTGTGGGAGGCTATTAGCCGTAGGAACGCGAACTGCTGATCCAGGATGAATGGTTCCCGTTCGCGTTTACGGAAGAAGTCAGTTAGGTCCTGTAGCACTTGGTCAACAGTCATGACGACTTGTGAAGCTTCCTGTAACAGATTATGTTCGATTCCGTGGGTAACGCTTTGCCCAGTATGTTTTACCAGGTTGTCCTTACTGACTTTGTATTCTGCAAACCTTCGAACAGCTGTACCCAGATTATGGCGGAAACCCTCCAATTTGGATTATGCAACAGATTACTTTGCGGAAGGAGCAAAATCTCTCCACTCAGGCAAGTTTTTAAGAACCTGGATTGACAGGCGAACACATGCCAGTAATGTGCGATGACACAAGATGAATGCTCGCTACGTGAGTAGCGGGTTTTACCCTACGAGCCACCAAAGCTCTTGCGTGGGTAAGTTTAGCCATGTTTGGCGCCCTCTAAGTGACTCGTATGGACTCGAAGTGTTCAAACTTTGCGCGGTTCGCTCCTCGCAGCCATGCCAGCTAATATTAAACAGATCATTTCCTTCTCCAATATAATATGCTCCTCGCAGCCATTAGACGGTCACATAAATGACCAACTGCCGCAAACAATTGTGGCGGGTGAGTCGATAATGCAAATAATTGCCGTAGCGAGCTTTGCGCCCATAGGCGCGCTGCAGTGGTTATTTGGAGATGATGCCTGCATCAGCAAGACCACAAATTGTTTGGCGACGCTTGGCGTGCTCGGTGAGCTTGGGGCGCTTGCCAAACATCCCAAAATCGTACGACCTCGCCAATTTATGTCGCTAACTATGCAATAGACTACGATTGGCCAAGTCTTTAGTCCCAGTGAAAATTGACCCTGTGCAGATCAGGTTCCTCCGGATCAAATCGATATATTTGCCAATTTCCGGCCATCTCCCCTGTTCAGATCGGGCCCCACCGATCCATTTGGCCATTTTTTAGGGTCGATTTTCACTGGGCTTTAGTTTGAAAGCCAAGCACAATTACAATGATTTATTAGATAGTGACATATTACTGTAACTGCATACTTTATAACATAGGAAGCCCATAACATCCAGCCACAAATGCTAAAAAATCCCTCCCAAATACATATTGAAGGTGCCAGTGAGGACCATGAAGGAAGGTGTCTAAATGAGGAGGTGATGGTAGTGGTGGTGCACGGCAGTGTAGTAGGTCCATCTGGAATCATTGTAAACCTGAACCCGATTGGATTTCCTGTGGACAGAGGGGAGATGATAAGTGAGCCCTAGTGACCCCTCATTGAGATTTGAGTCATTTGACTCGAGGGCAGTCTTCCTGCGGGCAAGAAATCAATACCATGGGTGAACGTTGGGTGAATGACAGAGCGCGAACAACAGGACGAATCCTGCTAATGCTTAAGTCTCTTGCGCCAGCCCTCAAGCCTTCCGATCACAAATCGATCATGCGAAGTTTTGCCGCCGTGAACATCCAGGCATCTAACTTTTTCTTCTTCAATATGCCCTTCGCTTCATGAGAGACTAAACTCATCCTCAATGGTGGCACAGGTCTCCCCATCAGTCCCGTAAGTTCTCCTTCACTTGCCAATTTCTCCATCTTACCTTTTTTTGTCGAAGGATGGCATTCCAAAACCCAGTACTTTACCATCCCCCACATAATCCACATGGACTCCACTGGATTCCACTGGATTCCACTGGATTCCACTGGACTTCACTACATACTGGCAATATCCACAAAACTGGACTCCCAGCACAAAACTGGACTCCACTGGACTGCAAGCACAAATCTGGACTGGACTGGACTGGACTGGACTGCAAATTACAAAACTGGATTCCACTGGACTCTCCCAACACAAAACTGGACTGGACTGGACTGCCACAGACCTAAGTTAATCCAGAATTCCTGAACTTAGACTTCAAAACAAAAAATAAAATTGAAGTATATTTATTAATTTAATTAATTAATTATACTAAATTCTATGTTACAGAGAGGGGGGGGGGGGAAGGGGAAGGGAAAGGGAAAGAGAAGGGGGGAAGGAAAGG